CACAGACAACCTCTCGTCAACATGCGTTTTTCGCATTGCATTGCTGCAAAAAACGCATAAAAATGATGGGCCTTATTGTTAGTTTGCTTCTACAAAAGCACAAAGAAAGCTGAAATGAATTTTCGTGTTTTTAACATAAGCCAGTGGTTTGTACCAGAAAAAAAAGTTTTTTTTTTGCTAAACCATCCAAGAAGACAAAAGACAAGCCTTGCTCTAATTTCCATACTTTGCTTCCTAGCCCCTGCATTTTCTCTTAGTGCTTTCGCAACTCAGAGCGTAATTACTGAAAATTCACATTTTCTCGGCGATTTATGAAACTTACACGAATTGGACATAATCTTCGTCGCTGTATTCGTTCTTCCACCATAACTTAATGTTTTTCTTTTTTTCGTCATGTGAGTGAGTTACGGAATCTTTGAAACGAAAACATTCCTGCTGCCATGATCCATTGTCATCCAGGCGCAGAAAATGTCCAATTCTGCAAACAGAATACTGCGCAACGAACGCCTTTCCTGTTCAGAATATTTTGTTAAGTACCTAACAGAACAACCAATCAGCAAAAAATGTACTGTAATAGTTATAAAAAGTGTTCAAGCTGTAGTGCTTGAATAGCAGTTCACTATGTTTGCCCTGGCAGGCTAGAAGTATTTAGGCATTTCTCGATTTTCGTAATTTCGAACTTAAATTTCTTGTGCCACCTATGTTATTAATTTTTCTGAGCCACTAGCACATCCGATGCTCCTCTTTTTTTTTTCATGAAACGAATGTTAAGCTTTTACTTTCCAAAGAATCACAGTTTGGTACTTTTGATAATAATATATATATTTTCAATGCACTAACCGCTGACGGACACGGAACTGTGTCAGGCAGCGCCGCTCTCATACCGAATGTTGAAGGTTTGGCTCCCTTACTGAAGCATTCAGTCTTTTTACGATTCATTCTTGCATTCATTTCGGCAGTGCGTTGATATTAGAGCATGGCAGGAAATCAAAACCTCCATCATCTAGCCTGTCGAAAGAAGGAGCTGTCGATAGTCTTGTCAACGGACGGGTTGCTGTTGTGACACTTTGTCACTCAGGTTGAATTACAGTCCTGCGGTTTCACAGAAAATGAAAACAGAGGATGCGAGGAAAGAAAGAGCCTCGACTATTGACTTTAATGTGGTAGCTAAATCTAATAAATGAAGTTTTGCCTGTGTAATTTAAAAGAATCCGTCAAAAGAGCTCCATTTTTATTCTGCAAAAAAACGTCTTGGAAGTGCACTTTTTCGATTATGAAATAAGAGGCATTACCGAAATTTTTCACAACAACGATATTAGGCTGATAATTTCTGAACTGAATAGAACTACAATTTGATAAATCTTAGAGGTTTTAACGTCTACCTCTCATGTCGAAGAAATGTGATCAACACTGGAAAAAAAAAACCCTCACCAACCAATCAAATAATAATTTCTCGAAATTTTATAAAACGCTGCAGACTATAAAAAAAAATTTCCAGTTTAGTTGGGAAAATTCTCAACATTTTATTTTTTAAAAAAGCGCGGGCTATCGTTACTAGTTAATGACAAAAAAGCACTTTTTGCGAGTTGAATCGTGAAAAAATGTTACAAAAAAACGCTATAGGTGCTGACAGGATCATGGCAAAATTACTCACCGTTTAGCAAATATTTTTTACATTAAGAATTCGAAAGAGTTGAAAATTTGCCGAATGACTTTCTACGGCATCAGTTTAATTTAGTTCTTCCTCTCACTGATTTGTCCCTGGCATGCGCGATTGCAGTTTCACATTTACAACACGAAGACTAGCTTGTCGTTGATTCGTTTTAGCCAAGATTTCTTCAAAAAAAAGCTAAAGAAAATTTTGCGTGTCTTGTTTTGAAGCTTACGAGCCCAAGCTTTTCACCGAAATGACTCACCGAAGGATTTTCTTACTTTTTACCGACTGTATTCAAGCAAAGGTACTGTAATAAAACGAGTGGGAAACTGCCGCCATAGATATGTTGATGCGTCAAATCTACAAAGAAAAAAATAAGTGACAATAGATTACCTCCTTCCCTGTTTTGGTCCTTTGTATGAAATTGGTTGAATTACAAAACCACGAAAACGGTCGGCACTCGTATTTCCTTTCAAACTTACTGAAAATATGAAACGCTACAAGAATTAGCCATCGCTTTTCAAATGTAGCTTCCAGTTCGATTTCGCCTCGATGAGGGATTAGTCCGGATATAAGAAGTTCTTTCATATCCAGATAAGAAATGTTTAACAAATACACTCTTTTGAGAAGTGGCATATAAAAGCGACAGAAACGAATGATCACACCTCCTTTAATCGTATCATTTGCAAAATTATCAGCATACCAACAAAAAAAGGTGTAAGGAACTCAGGAAAATTGTCAACTGATTGCATATTACATTCCAAATGGAGCAAAAGTTGTTTAGGGAGTCAAATTTGATCCAGAAGCTCTTACTTTACGGCTGCTCTTCTAAATGTTGAAAAAAAAAGCAGCTGACTCCAAACGGCTTGAAACCAAATGGCCAAGATAGAAGCAATTTGAATGAAAAGCAATCGTTCAGAGTTTTTTCTTTTCTAGCGGTGATCGATTTTATAAAAACTAATAAGCGATTAAACGGGAAATAAGGCTGCTGCAAAGCATGTTGTGAAGAAATTAACGAGGACAGTCTTTGGCTGAGTGTATTTAATAAGCCAATAACTTCGAGCTTTCCTCGACAAATATTTTGCGTGCTCTAGCCACTGTGTTACTTTGATGAAATGAGAGTAAACCGGAAATCATCGACATGTTTGACTATTACTTTAGGCAGTGATAGGACTGTTCACGAATTGATCATAAATTTCAACAATTACTAACATTACTGTATCGACAAATTATCATTTTAAATCAGCTCCTTAATAATAAATTTCCAGCTAAAGCTAAGTGTTTTTTTTTTAATTTCAACAAAATTTCAATAAACTGCTAAAAAAAATAGTCAAGAAAAGGAATAAAGAGAACAAACTTACGTTCCACAGGCTGATTCATCCAGTAGCATTTTTCTCGGACATCTATTCTGTATGGTGGATCCGTTAACTACAAAGCAAACTATTAGAGGATAAGAATAGCTTTTTTCGGTCAAACATTTCAGTCTGGCTAGCCTACTGTAACCAAAAGAAGGCGATTTTGTTCAAGAAATGCCAAAGAGTTGCACGATTCGCTACCTGGAAGTTTCGTAGACGCAAAGAAAATGTTGTGGACATATTTTCAAAATTATGTTTGGGCTTGAAGTAAATAAATTCCGGCAAATTTGAGGATTGCAAGCTGAGGAAACAAGCAATTTTGGTGAAGCATCGGTGTAATAATTAACGAATCTGTAAGAAGCTTTGCAGTCAACAACAAGCAACGTAGACCGTATTTTTATGTATACATAATTTGCTGAGTTTGTGCGTCTACAGAGCGGCTATATACCGTAATGACTGAGGATTTCAAGGTGCAGAAATTTTGTTTGAACTGTCAGCACGAATGCAGGCTTGATCTCATAGGCCATGAAGAAAAGCTGGAATGACGGCTTTGGGCTAATAGTTCAAGCTGTGGTGCAAAGTAAGTTCTTAAAACGTTATTCAGCATCCCTGTTTAAAATTGAATCATAAAAACCCCGAAATTGGAAAACACACAAAATCATGCAATTTCATTTTAATCTAGCATTGTGCAGTGCCAGGAACGGTTATCCTAGAGTTTAGCTTGGCTGTGCACAAGCTGAATTAACTAGAGATGCATACAAGCGTTTTCTTACATCTTTTACTCGGGTGGAAATACAAAATCTATACCTGCAATCCACCCTGATGCTCCACTGCTTCTAGTGGATTCATGGATTCGAAAACAGCATGAATACAAGGAGCACCGTCAGGCCATGCCGCTGCTGCGGCTATCACTGTTAGCAGATAGAGCAGCACTTGAGAGACACTCATCTTAGGCACTTATTTTATCCTGAAATTCACACCGAGATACCACTTTTGCAGCCGTGCTGAAGAAGATTAGATGCGTGCATTATCCACGTGGAAGCGTAGGGCTTTCTTCGCGTTTGGAAATAAGCTTTTGTTTTGTAGCAGTTTGGCTAGATCTGTCAAAATCTGTGTGCTTGCAAAGTTATCCTGTTAGTTTTGTGCAGCAGCAGCCTATCTAGACTTATTTAATAGAATGAATTAGGGTGATTATAATAAGAAACAGTTTTTTGCGAACTCTGCTAAATTGTATGGGAACAAAATTTTTTCT